GCCATTTTGTGTGCTCATCTGTGAAGTATTTGGGACACGTAATTACATCCCAAGGAATTCAACCATTGGCGTTCTAATGTAAGGAGCCACCAGCTCACATGCCTTTGGAGTATCAGATTAAAATCGACCTTATGTACTGTAATATTTAGTAGGTATCTATTCTCTAACTAGTCCTAGTTTTTTTTTTTGTTTTTTTAATTGAAACCTTAGTTTAGTTTGTATGTTGAAGACAACTGTTACAAATTAATTTATCTCCGTTAATGCAAAAATGTTGAAATTTCAAATTTTTTTGTTGTTGAAATTTTGGCTTATTATAGATGATTATGTGGAACCCCCTAAACTCCATACTGTGAAATTGAAAACTCGAAAAATTCCTCATAGGATGTAGGATGTTTTGATACTTCTTTGATTTATAATCTCGTTAGCCTCAATTTTCTATATTTAAAAGCTGGATTTTTTTTTAATTAACGAAAAAAAAAACAATAAAATTCCATCACCACAGTTTTATTGAAAAAGAACCTCGAAAGAAACGCCATGTGATTGGTTAATACCAAAATTTCTAAAAACCCTTCAATATAAGTTGGCGCTTTTCAAGTTTTTTTTTTCCAAAATTTCACCATCGCCATCGTTCTATTTCTGACTCGGTATCTTCACATTCAATTTGCGTTCTAGATTTATATACAGTCTTCATTCCATATGGACATTTCAAGGGCTCGTAGTCGTAGATTAATCTTCTCTCTTGTGGATCAGTGTCTCGTTTGTTTGCAACTTTCTGTACATCGCCTTGTAGTTTCATATATTCGTCATTGGCAAGTTCGTCAGTGATTGGATTATGGGAATCGACTAAAAGTAGAATGCGTATTTATTGTTGAGTGGAAAACCAAAATTTAAAAAACTTACGTTTATTGCCACTTTCAATACCGCGTCTAGAAAAAAATAATTTATTACTGATTTCAAGCTGATTCTATAGGTTGATTACCTACCTGATTCTTGATTCTAATAAGACGGGATAAACACTTCCAAAAACTAGTGCTATAGTAGAAACTAGCAAAAGCAGCGATGGTGATTTGAAGAACATTTTTGTTTTTCAATTTGCTGAAAGCACAAAGTTATGGAATTGAATATGTCAGTTGATTTTTCTATACCTATTTATATAATTTTGTGAAACTTATGCAAGATAAATTCAATAAAAATTTCAATTTAGAGGTGATGATTATTTTCATTTTAAATGGGCATTACGAAATCATCGATTTTTTTTTATTGAAAAAGTTGATATTTAAAATATCTACTACTGATTTTGTAATACCCAATAAAATGAAAATAATCACTACCTACCTACCTTTATAATTTCAAAACCCTTATTGAAATTATATTACATATTTTCACAAAATTATATAAATATTTAAAAAAAATAAACTGACATGTAACATTCAATTTCACACCTTGTGCATGCTCAAAGCAAATTTAAAAAAAAAATGTTTTTCAAATCACCATTGTTGTGTTTGCTAGTATCTATTATAGCACTAGTTTTTGGAAGTGTTTTTTATCCCGCTGTACCAGAATCAAGAATCAGGTAGGTATAGCCCAAGAAATTTATCCCTGGGCCGCAAAAAATTTTGCAAGGGCAGGCTGATTTTTCCAGAGCTGATTGAGGACTGTGTCCTTCCTGAGTATTGAGCCAAAAAATCACACTCGAAAGCCTTGTGCGTTCGGCCCTATTAGCCTTTTTCTTATTTATTTTTTTTCGAAAAAATGACCTCAACAAAACTTCTAGATAATTACATTCTGATCAACTTTGCCTCATGACTTTTTTGCTAGCTATTTTACTTTAGGCGCTACGGCCATTTTAGTGTTCAGAGTTCGTAAAAAAATTAAATAGCAAACCTGCAGATTATTATACATAATAAAATTCTCTATTTCTTTGCTTGATGATATTTTATTGTAACTTTATTTATTTCGCTTGTACGGCCTTTTAGGCATTTGAAAAATTTTATTTGACCTTTGTGGCATGCATAGCATTTCTAATAGGATGTGCACAGTATTTACGTTTTTTATGAGAGTGGTTTTCAATATACCATTTTGCAGTGTTTGGAGATAAAAGTAAAAATTCTTCATCAGAATCACTAATTTTTAAAAAACAAGGAGAAATAAAGCCTAATCCGGCAAGCTAGAGAGAGTGGCCAGTATCCTTGCTCTAGAGTCTAATAAAAAGAAGGGCCTAGAGAACGCACTCTAAGGACAGATAGGAGTCACCACAATAAATCTCGCATTGAGGAAGGCTACTTTTGAATAGTTTTTACTACCGCTATTACCGACGCTCTCATAGCTTTTATCACAGCTTTAACATAAACATGGCCTACGCAGCTGTTTACGTATACGACCTTGCACTGGTCCCATTTAACGGCCAGCAAGATCTAAAAATCTATACTTGGACCACTAGCACCTTTTTAGAAAAAAAAACACATTTTGCAGATTCCTGAAAGGCCGTACAAGCGGAAAAAATAAGGTGTCAATAAAATATCATCAAGCAAAGTAATAGAGAATGTTATTATGTACTATAATCTGCAGGTTTGCTATTTAATTTTTTCACGAATTCTGAAGCACTAAAATGGCCGCAACGCCTAAACTAAAATAGCTAGCAAAAAAAGGCACAAGGCAAAGTTGATCAGAATGTAATTATCTACCAGTTTTGTTGAGGTCATTTTGTCGAAAAAAAATAAATAAGAAAAAGGCCAATAAGGCCGAACTAACAAGGCTTTCGAGTGTGATTTTTTGGCTCAATAATCAGGACATAGTCTCCAATTAGCCCTGAAAAAATCAGCCTGCCCTCGCAAAATTTTTTGAAAAACCCATAGATTTCTTGGGCTAGTAATCAACTTATAGAATCAGCTTGAAATCACTAACAAATAATTTTTTTCTAGACGCAGTATTGAAAGTGGCAATAAACGTAAGATTTTCAAATTTTGATTTTTCATTCAAAAATAAATACGAATTCTGTTTTTAGTCGAAGACGAACTACTTGGCGTTGAGGAATATATAAAATTAAAGGGCGATGGACAGGGAGTTGCTTATCCACGAAAATTCTTCGCGAAAATTCCGTGTAGAAGACCTGGATATTCACATCAATATAGCCTTAGGACGAATAGCTTTCAATGTCTTTTTATTAAGAAGGAAGACGAGGAATAAAAAACTTTAAAGCCGTTAACTTATGAATTAGAGGATTTATAGAAACGTATCAAGTAATCAGTAATCGGGTTTATTTTTTTTTTGTAATAGCTCATCAATAAAACATTATCTACTGTTGATTAATTTTTATTGTTAGGAAGGTGTTGAAGACGTAGTCTTATTTTTTATTTAAATCATATTCAAAAGTTATTTTACTTTCTCAGCAGGCCGTATGAGTTTTGCTTATTTATAATTTATGTTTGCGCGGGTAAAGTAACGCATATCGGTTGACGGCACAGCCGCCCTGTCACTTGACGAAAATCAGCTCTATCACTCAAAGGAGTGGGAAATCACAACCAGTCACATAAAATCTATCAAACGCATCGGTCGTACCGTCTAACCCTTTACAAGGTCGCGTTCGTACCATATTTCGAACAACGTGCCAGAATATTTGGAAAAGACGAAGGAAGGAAGCGAGCGCTCGCCAACGACCCTTCCTTTCGGAACAGGTGAGTGCGGATTATCCATTTGCTCCCATATGCGTTTCGTAATTGTATTCATATATTTAATCATTTAAAAACGACTCCTACGGTCTTAAAGGTCCTTCGAAAAGTCTAACCGCGACAGAAGGTATACCTACACCAATTACATGAAATACCTTTCAAGAAAATTAACTACTCCCTTTGAAAAAAAAAAGATGACATTTTTCGGAATGAGACCAATAGAACAAGACAAAGTGGAAGCAATGCCCCAAAAAATTGAATTTGATTCATACATTCTACTTGACGAAAAGATGATAAACATTGTCATCGAAGGACTAGACAGGAATCAGGACCTTGGTGAAGTCCAGGAGTGTTGAAGAATCTAATCAATTTCAACGTAATAATAGTATAAAAAGAACTAATCAGTTAGGTATATAGATAAAAAAAAATTGACATGATCCTTGTATTGTCAGTTGAGTAATTGTCAGTCAATCAAATTTTTATTATAATTATTCACCTTATATTCTGTAATTTTTCATTGAAGCAAAGTATTTTCTGAAGTGTTGGCGGTTCCACTGTAAATAAATAATTCCAATAGGTTATGGGCCCAGGATAGCAACGCCAAGATAACTTCAAGAATTGAGAGTACACGATGAATGCAAAATTGAATCTCGAAAAGTTAGAGGAGTCTGCGGAAGGAAAGTCGAACTATGGCGCATGGAGATTCAAACTAAATCTATTGCTTCGAATGAAAGGAATGGTAAAAATTGTTACTGGTGAAATACCTCAACCATCGAAGACAGACAAGGATTATGCAGCTTGGATTAAGAAAGACATCGAAGCCCAAACCATTATTAGATTAGCTGTGCACGAGAATATTGCTATATGAATACGACTTGTTCAACATCAACTAAGATGATTGAAAGACTGGAAACTTTGTATGGAAAGAAAAGTCAAAAATTTGTTGACATGTTGCAACAACATTTTTTCGCGTACAAATATGATGAAAGTAAAACAGTTATTGAAAATTGTCTGGAAATCAATGGACTGGCATCAAGAATTGAAAATTAATGGAGAAAATATTAAAGACAGCTGGCTAACGTTAGACAGCGAAGCTCTTATTAAGGCCCTAGAAATCGAGGCGGCCTATGAGATTTCCGATGCAAAAATTACTGTGTCGATTCTTGAAGAAAAAGAGCCAATGGAAGAAATTATCTGCACCATAATGAAGGAATGATAAGTGAATTGGTATAAAGTCAATAAGTTCAATAAAAGTTGTTGTTTGTGAAGTGAGTTTCAGTGAACCCCGGAATCCGTGACAATATGAATTATTTTAATGAAATGTATTGGTTGCTTGGTAGTACCAGTAGCCTTGGGCATTATTGGAAAAATTGATTAGCCTTAGAACTTAAAATGGTGATAATATTAATTTATAAATATAAAGTTCCTAGGAGCGATTGCTTTTCAATAATTAGTATTATTGAAATTATCTTGAGGTCACTTTGTTGTAATAATTTCACTAAATTAGTGCAGAATCATGATCAGCAAATCAGTCCTAGTGTTTTTGTTTGCAATAATGTTTCTAGGTTTCTGTTCCGCACCAACAATCAGGTGATTATATAATTATTATTCAAACTTAACTTTGTACTCATTGAAAACTTTGCTTTTAAAAGCGATATTGAAAGTAGCAATGACCGACGACGTAAGTTTTTCAATTTTAGTTTTTTATTTAATAAATACTATAGTAATTTTTTTTTTCAGTTAATAACTACCCTCTTTATTTGAACATAAATAACGAAGAGATAGGGATATTCACTGATCGATCAAGAAGGATAAACATGACATTAAGTGCCGCTTCGCCAGGATTAGTGAAACACGACTAAAACGAAAAAATAATAATAATACTAATATTATTGAACTCAAGTCAATATATATGTATATTTTTGTGCATAACATTTTGAAAAAATTAAATTTCATGCATAGGTATAGAATTTTTAATACCTATTTAGAAGTACCAGTCGTTCTAGTGACTAAACGTATGTCGCTTCTTGAACAGACAAATAAAATTAGGTTGGGAATTTCCTATTTGTACATGAATTTAGCAATCGACATTCGTTTTTGTTGGTAATTTTCTGTTTCATCTGATTCGTGATTGATAAATAAGGATAGAGTTATTCTAAATGGGTATTAAAAATACTATACATCCATCTCCTGTCATAACCATCTCATCGTTGCAGGGGGCAAAAATATTTAAAGTTTTATTTCTAATTCGGTATATCGTATAATCAGTCACCCACCTTCTCTAAATATGTACCTTTTTTTTAAATTAACTTAACGGCAATAGTTAAAAATCACTCGTATACTACCCCATTCAACATGCAACAAATGGTTGGAAAAAAAATCTCTTTCCTACGAAATATTACACTCAAGATTAATCCCATGATTGATCTTGCTTTAGGCATTCAAAATTCACCAGCCATCGCCTCAAATTAATGATTTTAGTGGAGCTACCCTACATTTTCCCAGCAATCAAGCAGAAAATCATGCATCAGCATTTGAAATACTTTAGAAATTTTTGCATATTCTATTCACAGCGAACCCAAAGGATCATTTAAAGTCGAAAAGACACTATCTCAACATCGAAAAATTGGAAAGTTCAACTTTCAACTGTGACGGAACTAGCTACTGCCCCTTTTTGGGCTTTAGTCAAACCACACCAGGGATGCCAGAAGTTTTCACTTTGACTGACTGTAAAAATTAACCACTAGGTATTGGATCATTTAGGCCTTGTATTGGGTTAGGGGTGCCTTGATTCTCATTTATACAAATAAAACGCTGAAATAGAATAGTTATCAATTTAATTAATAAATGAAAGTAATTCGGTATGGTTATCAATCAAATCCTATCTAAAAATTCCTAATTGGACGTCCAGTCAAACTACAAATTTTATACTAATCTAAAGTAAATTTTCTAAAGTAAAGTATCTTGATTTATAAAAAGTAGGGAGATCTGATAATGATAATATCATTTATGGTTAAATGTTCAATGAACGAGAACAGAAATTAACTAATTAAATGCACGAGAGCACAACATAAATAATTCGTCAACTTCAATCAGTTCACTGCAATCACAAAATGTTTATTGATCCTTGAAAGTTCTTTTATTTATTGAGAATTAACAATTTGAGCAATTCTCTGCTGAAGTCTGTAAACAATATGTGCAAGAAAAGTCTTTTTATATGTACAAATGTTAATTTCACGAGTGTGAAAACCAAATTTCTGCATTAAAGTTAGAAAACCCCTCAATTTATAGTGCATTTCAAGCGAATCACTAATCAGTATTTATTGTTCGACTGTTAGTGAAATTGTAACGGTCTTACTTGCTTAATCAGGTTCATGTAGATAAATCCACAAGGCGATTATTCATCCATTTATCACCACTATTCACACTGGCAACTAGGGAATTTTCCACTGAGATGAAAAGTAAACACAACGATATACAGGTGAGTTGGAGCCCGTCGAGAGTGAGAGAGAGAGCCAAAAGACAATCGCGTAGGAGAGAATTTTGCTCGTCCGAGGTGACTTGCAACAATAAGGGGTTAATTACATGAATTGTAATCAATAATATAGACCATATCAGGCCTTGAGACACAGAGAGTAATAGTTTACTATGAATCGCGCGTACTAGTACAAAATTATCAACGATAAGCAATACGGATTTCGAAAATATAGGTCAACTGGAGATTTACTTACATTCGTCACTCACTTATGGCAAAAAGCGATTGAGTTGCGGGGTGAAACAAGAACAATTGCCTTAGATATATCTAAAGCATTCGACAAAGTTTGGCATGAAAATCTGCTCAACAAGCTCAAAGCAATGGGATTATCGCCGAAACTTTGCACTTGGTTTGAAAGTTACCTAAAGGACAGATCCATTTATGTTGCACTGGATGGCCAGAACTCCAACTCTTACCAAATAAATGCTGGTGTGCCACAGGGAGCAATCCTTTCGCCAACTCTTTTCCTGATTTACATAAATGACCTCATAGATAAAACAGTAAATCCACTTTATTGCTTTGCAGACGATGGCAATGTAGTCTCCTCACTCATACCACCCACAGGTCTTTCCGCACGTGAATTCCATCATCTTAGACTAACTCAAATATCGCAGATAAATAACGACCTGGAGATAATAGAGGACTGGGGTAACAAAAACCTTGTACAGTTCAACGCGCAGAAAACCCAAGCAGCTCTGTTTTCAAAAAAGACCAGCACCGGTGAGCCAAACATCATGCTATCTGGAAGTGCTGTCACATTACAGAGTCAGTTGAAAATCTTGGGGGTTACTGCAGAGACCAACATGTCTTGGCACAGTCACGTGGCAGATATTGCTAAAAGGGCCTCCCAAAAGCTGGGGGTGCTATTTCGTACAAGACATCTGTACACACCAAGCCAATTGCTGACACTCTACAAAGCCCAGATTCGACCAACTATGGAGTACTGCTCACATATATGGAGTGCAGCACCCAAACATACCTTAATGCTTTTGAATACCGTGCAAAAACGAGCTATCAAGCTGATCAATGACCCCGCACTTACTCGTAACTTGGATGGTCTCGAACATCGCAGATCTGTGGGCGATTTATCTCTCTTCTACAGGTACTATCACGGAAAATGCTCTGAAGAGTTGGCACGTATGATTCCACCGAGAATAGCACCTACCAGGCGAACCCGTCAAACAGACGGTAACCATGAATTTACTGTCAAACTAGAGGCACCAAGAACCTCATTATATCAGAATTCATATCTCTGGAGAACAACATCGCTGTGGAATAAACTCCCTGCGACGGTTTTCCCTTCAGGTTACGACCTGAACCGTTTCAAGACCAACATACACCGACATTTCCGCGCACTTGCCGCTTCTCGAGCGTGATAGGACATTTCCTTGCGAGTGCGCATATCCGTAAAAAAAAAAAAAAAAAAAAAAAAAAAACTAACGGGGGTTTTTGGGGGTTTTTCCTCTGGAGAGCATTCAGAGGGCGCGAGGGTGCGAACTCTTCGCTTATTCCAATAGTACTGGACAATGTGCGTTGACTAGACTCTGCCAGGGGAGCAGGTCGGAAAAATCTAGAAAACAATGTGGCGGCTGACTAATCACAGCAGCGAGAAAGGTCCACTGCCTTATAAGGTAATGAGGAAACCTGTAATTTTATTGGTTCAAAGGGTTGTTGTTGCCGGTTTTACAGGATAAATAGTCCAGCAATAGCATCTATTTTTAGAACATTATTTTTATGGTAAATACTAGAAATTGAGATATATAAATTAGAAATATTAAAATTTAAACTTGCTGTCGGTTATTTCCGCAATTTTTAAACTTACTATTATTATAGGTATAGGAGATATTAATTTGACATTTCCAGAAAATCTTTGTTCCATAAAAACCCTGAAAATTCTGTCGATTATTGTATTTTAATCGCTCTAATATTCACGAAGGGATTTCAATAAATTGATATTTGAAAAACCTATTTGTCATAAGACTATTAATTTCTTATAGCCAATTTCCAATAAAAATCAATCATTTTGTAATGCTCATTGAAAATGAAAATAATCATTACATTTAATTTTAAAAATTTATTGGAATTATATAACTTTTCCAAAAACATATAAATATGAAGTATCTGACATTCGATTTCACAGTGTGCTTACGAAAGTTGAATAAAAAAATGTTTCTTAAATCACCATTGTTGTTTTTGGTTGTATCTACTATAGCACTAGTTGTACCAGAATCAAGAATCAGGTAATCAACCTATATAAATACACAGAATCAGCTTGAAATGCCTTGAAATCAGTAATAAACTATTTTTTCTAGACGCAGTATTGAAAGTGGAAATAAACGTAAGTTTTTTAAATTTTTGTTATCCCACTCAACAATAAATACGAATTCTGTTTTTAGTCAAATCATTAAGTCACCTTTATAATCTAAGCACAGAACAAAATGCATGCTGCATCATCAATTATCTGATGAACATTGATTCTGCATTTATCGAACATTACCGAATATATTTATTTATTCAAGAAACATTTGTATTTGACACTGGATCATTAGTTACATTTTGCTCATGCTAATAGGTAACTCTTTTTTTTTAAAGGGTTTAGGCTTAGGAACCATCGTCTTGTTCGGAGTTGGTTCGAGGTAATTCCGGTACTCTGTGAATCGGACCTCCACCCTTTTATTTCTTCTGTTGGTCGATAGCGCTCTACGGAACAGCCTGCACTTGGGGCATGCCTCATCCCCTTCGCATTTCTTTGTGCTGTGTCCGCGTTTACCGCATAGGAAGGACGCATAATTCGCTTCTGTCTGATCTTACAATCTCCTTTCAGATGGTCATATGACCTCTGCATATTGATCATTCTACAGCTATCATTTTCGCTCTGATTACAGCCTTTTCCCTGTGCTCCATAAGCTTTTCGGCTTTCTCTTTTGACGGAGTTATCGTTGCAGTCTGTGTAGTGTTTGCGTTCGCCCTTAATGACCCTATTCTAACCTCTTCCGAGTCTGATTTCCCTATCCTCTCTTCTATGGTCTTTTTCAGCTCTTGTTCTCTCCTGCTTCTGGTTCTCTATCTCTATTACCTTGGCGGTCACTCCCACATCTGTATCCTTGATGTTGCCCTGAATCCTATATTATAGTCATTGGTTTTATAGCCAACTCATCTCTTTTCGTTATGATTAGCAGTTTCCCATCTTTTATCTCTCTTAGTCCTTGGATCTTTGCATTTGCACTATCGTGTTCTGCCTATTACGGGGCCGCTTTCCCCTGCTGTTGTGCTGGTACTACTGCTGCTGCGAAGATATGCGTTGGTCGTGTAAATCATTACATGTGTAGCGCTACTTTGGTTTTCCGGACGGTTAAGGGGTTTTCGGAAAACTCGGGCGCCACCCTTAGGATTATAGTGGTTAAGGGCCCACGTGCTCCAGGTAACTTTTAACAGTGGAGACCGAAAACAAGAGGTCAATATGCGCATCCCTAAAATGAAACACAATAATGTAACCAACAAATTCAGTTTATTGGGACGGAAAATAATAGATGCAATACGTAATGAAAATGATAAAAAGGTAATATTGAATGGAAGGACGAAAAGAGAGAGAGAGCGAGTGTGTAAACGAATACTAGCGTGCTTTTTAGGTTATGTGGTAAACGCGTAAGTTTAGTTTATACGGGACGGTAACGGTACGTCGGGGTAAAAAGCTCTGCAGGTCCACTCTCGGGGAATCCAGCTCCTTCAGTCATCAGTGCTGCGGTGATTTGGCCATTTAGGCGATCTGTGCAGGGTGCATGACGTATCTTATTAAACAAAGGCATAAGGACAGAGAGAGCCACCCTGTAGACGGCCCTGCTCGTAACTCCCTCAAGTCCATCACAGAAAGAATAGGGCCATCCTGTAAACGGTCCAGCACTTAACCGTCGTAACCCCATTCAATCCGTGTATCCCCCTGTATAGCAAGAGCATCATGCACGAAAGAAACGATCTGTGTATAGTGAAGAATACTGAATATACATTGATATAAGGACATCGAGTGCCACCCTGTAAACAGTCCAGAACTTTAACCCCCATTGCCCGTCACAGGTAGATTAGGGCCGTAACCCCATTCAGTCCATGTATAAAAAGTAGCCCCACTCACCCAGATCGTACGATTTACTGAGGCGTCTCGACGGAGCTGACGACGTCGGAGCGGAGTCCAAACTAGCGGCTTCCCTTGGTGGTGTCGGTGCTGCTGGTCTGGGATGTGGTACCTGTGAACAGAAGAAGAGTGACCCATTTGTGGCCGCGCATCTCCTTTCATTACCGGTCGTCGTGCGTCAAAGGTGGAAACGGCAGTGGAAAAGTTTATTGGAACGTACGGTTTCAACAAGGTCACGTGCAAAATATTATTTAAATTAATTATCATGTAGAATTAATCCGGCCGAAGTAATTAACTTAGAACCGCGGTAGCAATCAATAAAATACCCGGAAAATTATGTAGCTTCGTTACACATGTTTTTTCAATTTATTGTATATCACCGCCACCTTGTCACTCTTCCTTGTCTCCTCTCTCAATTTCACCAGTGCATCGGGTATCTACTTCTATAGCGGGCCTGGATGCTCTCCTCCATATTGGGGCTCGTTGGTTCAGTGGGTACCACCTTCACAGTGGTCGCTTTTCTGTTGTATATTGCGTCTCCTATTTTTATTCCCACGTGATCATAAGTTTCGTTTGTCCATATTCTGTTTCATTCAACCGCCGGACTCTCCGTTTGGGTTTGTTTTGCCATGCAAGCGTAAAATTTGTACCTAATTTATATTAATAATCATTATTAAAGGATTCACAGAAACTTATTAACTTTTCACTGGGTGTTTCTTTCGGGGTAACTTTTTCTTGTTATAGCTCATATCAATAAAACCATTAACTACCTATCTATTATTGATAAATTTTTATTGTTTTCTGTTTTACCAATTTACTTGCCTAGAAGTCTTGCTAAACTACTAGTATTTTAGTCGAATAAAATACCTAATTTTTTTTATTATACGTTTTAAACTTAAATAAAACGCAAACTATGTTAATTAAAATATTTTAATTTTTTTTCTAGCCACATCAACTATATCTCCAATGATCGAAAGAGTTTTGTTTGACATACCATGTTTGACTGGTTACGTGAAGATTAACCACGTTTGTGTTGCAAGCTTCGATGTTCCCAAAGTTGATAAAACAGCTTCTAATAGGTTGACAGGTAATGGGTAACTTGATGACGCATCTGGAGGGGTGCCTTTATGGAGATTTGCATTATGTTGAGGCAACCCAGATGACAACATAAAAGTTATCAGGCAGCCTCACATCTAAAATTTTACTTCTACTACATAGTATTTCAGTCGAATAAATCGATAATTATTAACAACTACAATTTTTATTATACCTACGTTTTACGCTCAATAACAATTTTTTTCTAGCCACAACCATATCTCCAATGATCCAAAGCACTCAAAGGAGAGTTTTGATTGACGATAATCCCTGTCTGCCTGATTTCATAAAAGTTGGCCAATTTTGTATCAAGGATGGAAAATACAATCCTCCTAGAGCTTAAAGCACAGACGGCACAGCTTTTTACAACTGGTATGGTTAAGGGTATGGTAATGGGTAACTTGAAGACGCAACTGGGGTACGTTATGGAGATTTCCATTATGTTGAGGCAACCCAGATGACAACATAAAAGTTATTAGGCAACCTCACATCCAAAATGTTAATCAAATGTTTATAATATTGTTGTGTTCGAGTGGTTAATAAAATCCTCCCGCTAAATATAACGTTTAGTTTTACTGTATAAAGGTACTTCGTCAATAAATAATAGTAGCTTAGCTTCCGAGCCATGACGTAACTGGTAAGGAAAACAGAGCGAGACAAGGATCGGATCCTTTGTCATGGTCTTATAGGAAGCACCATGGCTCTCGTCGTAGATTACTTACATACCATTCATGCTGCACGCCTTTCTTGATTTTGTCCCACGTGGTTGGTTCTTCTGTTGTTGAATCTGATAGTCTTCCTTGTACATTAATGATGACAATCAAGCACAAAAAAGTGCTAATTTCCTTGATGAGTACATACCTACTTGATTTGTTGTTGCCTGTGTGCAAATTGTTTACTAAATAAAATGAGAACGCCTACTTCAGAATCCTACACGAGGATCTATAATCTCTAATTATAGATAAAATAAAAAAGGGGGTTTTTTGATTCACAATGGCATTTGCATTGTTAGTCAACGTACAGAATATTCAAGGTTATCGCACAAAATTGAAAGACCTTAGATTGTCATACGACTGTTATTCTTATATTTGTAATGGAGTCCTGGCTGAATGATAGCATATTGGATCAGGAACTTATTGATTTGACCAGATACTCAATATTTTGGAGAGACAGGATCACCACATGTTCGAAAAAAGATGATGGTGGTGTGATTAATAATGAATTCAGAATTCGATCCAGTGACGCTCGAAGAATATCACAGTGAGCCAGAAGAAGTTTGGGCTCTTTTGACTATAGGTAATGTTAAGAAGATATATTTGTGTTGTGTTTACTTACCACATAATGAAGATGGTGACTATGTTTTTTTTTCAAAATCAAGATTCAACCTGGAGAGGATAAAAGATCATCTAGTTTTGATTTGTGGGGATTTCAACCATTCAACAGGTTTGGCTTGAAAATGAAGGACACTTTGAACAGTTTGAATCATTTGATGTACCCTTCAAATACTGCGCGATTTGTTGGAAACTTTCACTCACAGCGGCCTTATGCAATTTAATAGCATACGCAATTCAGATAATAGGCTTTTGGATCTGGTATTTTGTAATGGGTTCCTTATCAATATTTCAATTGAAATTAGCAGTCCTTTGCTGCACGAAATCATTAATCGCTCCTTCCTGGAGTTCCTTCTTGACTGTCCCGGTACTCACTTGAAATCTAACTTTAGAGTGGCAGAGTCAGACACTTTAGAAACTTCAAACAGGCAAACTACACGTATATCTGCAGTAGTTTGAGTTTATATGACTGGTCATCTATTCTAAAACATAATATAGTCTCCTTGAAAAGCATAAATAATTCATTTCCCCCTTATTTTTCGAAAGACATAATAAAATTGATCTTAAATAAGAACAAACTACACAAAAAGTGGAAGATGAACAAAAATATAAATGACTACAATACCTTTGAACTTAGCACTGGAAATCAAATACCAACGAAGTAACAGCAGATCTGATTTCTTATGATATTATCTGGCTTGTCCGCTGGTGTTTTCCAGTTCCAGGTGTACAAGCGTCTTGGTGGCAGTTTGAACCATGTGTTTGTTATTACCATGCTTTCTTCTCTGCAGAACTGAACTTGTCAATCTCCTCGTTCATTTCTTTGTCCCAGACCAAATCTATCTACCACATCATCCTCTTTTCCGTGTCCAACTTCAGCAATGAAGTCCCCTATTATTATGTTTACCTCTTTTGCTTTAACACTTTTAAGTAATTCTTTTATTTGAGTCTTCCACTACTTCTTCGCTTTTGTCCGATGTATGGGGGCAAATACTTGAAAATGATTTATGGTCAACTTTAGCAAAATAATCCTGTCAAAAAATGGCAGACAGCCAATAATGGAAGTCTTTATTTATTTATTTATTTACCATAAGTATCAACAGCTAAACAGCCAATTACAGACACTTGCTTAGTCTAGAAATAAAATTACAAAAACTAAGTTAAAACAAAAATTCAGGCACTAATTTATCATCAAGAATATTCTTAAAATTCCTTAAGCTAACCATATCTATATCTGCGTCAGAAGCATGCTTATTAAACATTTGACACATCTTATATATAGGTGATTGTTTAAATAAATTTGTTCTAGGTAAAACACTTTCTTATCTCTAACGTTCATTCTATTAACTACAAACGGCAATTCACTGCATCCTATTGAACATACGTAATAAAATTCCATTATCACAGCCTTGTTGAGGATAAAAACCAAACTTCTTAAAAAACATAAACTTCAAAAATTTCCTCTGTATTCCCTCAATAAGCGATATCCATACATTTTACTGTGGTGACCATATAATACTATTATACTCTAGTTTCGGGAGCACTAAAGTGTCAAAAAGCTTAAGGCTTACATAAATACTAAAATTTTCGGTACTTCTTATCACAAATCCCATTATTCTTTGTGTATCCTGTATAGAAGTTATTATATGGTCGTTAAATGACATTTTTGTATTAAAAATTATACCTAAATCAAGTTGAGAGCTTACCCTATTTAACAGAACATCCTTAAAACTATATTGATTGTTAAAAACATTATGATTTAGGGAAAAGGACATACTGGAATACTTATCAACATTCATATTGAAACCATTACTATCACACCAAAGAGCAACACAATCCAACTCATGCTGAATACTATTACAGTCATCCTGAGACGTGACGCTTGCATACAGTTTAAAGTAAAGTCATCAGCAAACAGCAAAGTTTTGGACTCTTTCACTACATCAACAATGTCATTTATTGCTATCAAGAAAAGTAGGGGTTCCAGATTAGAACCTTGGGGGATGCCCGATGTACTTTTATACACTACAGACTTACATCCTTTTATTTCCACAGACTGGAACCTGTTAAAGAGGTAGGATTTAATTATATTGATTAAATAAGGGGAAACATCCATATTCATCAGTTCTTTCACAATTACACAGTGCCTAACCTTGTCAAATGCCTTTTCCATGTCTGTATAGATCATATTAGCTACCTGAGCTTTATTCTTTAGGGACTCGTGAACAAATTGGGAAAATGTAGCGAATTTAGTGAAAGTTGATCTTTGGAATTGTGTGATTTTAGAAGACACTTCATTATAAATCAACTCAAATAGGATTCTCTCAAAAATTTTAGATACTGCACACACAATGCTAATCGGACGATAGTTCCTAATCTGTTTTTTAGGCCCACTTTTATAAACAGGAATTACTTTACTAGATTTCCATTGATCAGGATAAATGGAAGATTTCAGGCTTAATGTGAACATAAATTTCAGTGGTTCAACCAAAGACTCACTACAACCCTTAAGAATATATGCCGGCAGACCATCCGGACCCATAGATCTATTAGCTTTCATTCTCTTGATAGCATTCAAGATTTCTTCATCAGATATCAACACATCACAAAGATACGACTTTATTTCAGACAGCTCACATACACATTCAGACGTATCGTCGTTCACAAACACAGATTTAAAAAATGAGGCAAAGCCTTCGGTCACATACTTAGTTCCTATGTATGAGGAATAACCCAAGTTCATCTCTTCCATGATGTCTTGACTCTTCGACCAAAAATACCTAGGATTTAACATCAAGCTACTCTCCACATCCCGCAAATACCCTCTATGAGCTACCCCAATTTTATTTTTAAGCTGCCTTCGCAGGGCTCTATACTTAGTACTCCAGAAGTGGGACTTAAAACGTTTAAATTTTTAAAAAATATTTACGTTTCAGTTCAATGAGATTAATAATTTCTCTGTTGAACCAAACAGTGGTACACAATAGCGGAATATACTAAAAATTATTTCATAAAACCTTCCCACTGCCAAGTTAACATTTGCAAAGTTATCGAGACAATTGCAGTTTTGGTGTTTGAATCGGTTATACAATTCCAAAAAATTCGCTCTTCTAAAATTATATTTGGTATTGGGAAATTAATTACAGTCTGATTTACGGAGAGCTCTTGGTAGGACAGCAATCAAGCCAGGATGATGAGGATCCACTGGCAACAATGGATCATCATCAATGTTTACACTCACATCACTGAGTACTGAAATTATAGAATCGAGAATAACATTGTTTGCATTACGGACCTGGTTAAATTGTTGCAAACTGCCAAATGCTAGAAAACTCTTAAAATTAAGCAGGACATCACTAGATGACTAGCTGTTTACATAGGACGGAATATTAAAATCACCAACAATTATAAAACAATTTATCGCTCATATATGGCGCTCCACTGTATCATAAAACTTACTGTAAGTATCACATTTAGAATTAGGGACAAAATAGACCACAACAATATACAAAAATGTATTAGAACTCATTAACACACGGACACATAGAGCTTCAAGCTCCTCATCAAAAATATTGATATTGCTAGCATTATAAACATTTTTTATTGCAAGAAAGACTCCACCTCCCTGTTTTTTATGGGTCAAATAAGGGTTTCTATCCTTCCTGAATATTTTTCTATTATCGCCACAAAATTTGGCAGTGTACACAGATTCATTAAGCCATGTTTCTGTGAGAGCAAGGATATCAGCATCACTGATTAACATGTTAACTTTTAGAGAATCCAGTTTTGTTTTAACCCCCCTACAGTTTTGATAAGAAATCAGCATGTTACCTATGTGTCCTCCCCTCCGTTTAAATCCCGCAAAAAATGACAAAACCAACTGCCTTCAGGTGGTACTATATGATCTACCATCTTGACATTCTCCATTTCCTTGCCATCTCATTTCACTGATACCCATCACGTCAATACTTACTCAATCTTTTTGTGCTATGGATTTTTCTTGCTTCAAACATCCTTCTGATTTTCCAAGTGCAAATTTTCAGTGCTGGCCGGGAGATTCTTCGCACACTTTGACCATTGAACGTGTGCTCAAAACAAGGGGCCATTTTTGAGGTTTTTTCAGACATAAATATTTTCCTGGGAACTGTTTAGTGTAGTAGTTTTCCGTTGTCTTCTACAATGCTGTACAAACGCCGTTACAGAGGGTGCCACTTCGCGGTTTGCTACTTTTGCCTGTTGACAGTTTTGAGACAGCCAGCTGCCGCTGTTCAGTGCTAATTTCGTTCCGCCCTGAGCATTTCATTTCCTCGGTACCTACAATTATATTGTTCTAAGGAGTAAATGATTTTTGGTTGATGATTTTGTATACTATTGAAGCAGGGCTCTATTAAAGATTAATTTATATTTGAAAACTTTTTAAAAGCATTAGAAGGATTTGATAGTGACGTTTTCTCTGGAGGAATTTTTGTGCGACATGATTGCTAGAGTGGTATTCTAGTAGAGTATAGGAATTTGAAATCAGTCAACAAATAATATAGGTGTACCTACCATAAAAAAATAATGTAAATGAGTATTATTTTGAATTCAGTAGATGAAGTTGATCAAAGTCATGAAACTAGGAAAATTTGAAATTTTCAACTGGATTTAAAACTCTGAGATTATTGGAAGAAAGTGTCCATCGGTCTGATGAGATTAAAGAAGATTTTAGGAATATGGTGAGATATTACTAATAAGAGTAACAAAACAACTTTGCATCGCAAATGCCTATAACGTAAATCTCAATCAATTCTGACCTGAATAATTATCGAGAAAACATCTCAGTTATTAAATAAAAGGTCACAGAGGCGTTATATTAACTTGAGATAACGCAGCCTTAACATCATTATTTCAACAATTTTTATCAAGTGAGTAGCATTCAAAAAACCAAAATTCCAGATGCGATGTAAAATTTTAATATTGCTATTGCTAATCTATCAAATCAATAGTGGTTTTGTAGTGGTTAATGACGTAGCACACCAAATACACCCAAACAAAACCGCAATCGGCATTATTATACCAAATCCAAGAAGAATTATTACAGTTAAAAGCAAATGTCCGAGCGGAAAGGTTTACAATGGTATTTTAAGGATGTGTTTGAGTTTTAATTGAAGGTAAATTAAATCTGATCTAGTTTGTTGTTCAAGGTGTCGAGTATGACTTGTTTTTAACCTTACCCTTGAAAAGAAAATTAGCATTAAATTGCTTAAACTGCTTTGGGATTCTGAGAATGGCGAGACGCATTTCGAATAATATAGAATAGTGCTAATAAAAATTAACTACAAAAATTTATTGTTTTAAGTAGTGGCAATTAAAAGTAATAGAATTTAGTTATTTTTGCAACCTAGACGTTAACTTTAAACTATTCCAACCATCAGCATGAAAATTGCTCCACATAATCAGCTAATTTTTATTGTAACTAATCTCTACATAAACAAATTTCCCCCCATTTGTCACCCATATAAGCAACTACTGTTTAAACAAAGCATTTTATTTAGTAAACAATTTGCACACAGACCACAACAAACTAAGTATGTACTCATCAAGGAAATTAGTACTTTTTTTGTGCTTGATTGTCATCATTAATGTACAAGGAAGACCATCAGATTCAACGACAGAAGAACCAACCACGTGGGACAAAATCAAAAAAGGCGTGGAGCATGGATGGCATGTAGTCTACGACGAGAGCCATTGTGCTTTCCATAAGGTAATTTTTTATTTGTTTTAAAGGCTTATTTTGTGATGGTTTGAATAGGTGAAAGAGTTGGTGAAATCCCATGACCATGACGAAGGCTCTGATCCTTGTCTTGATAAACCTTACCAAAGAAATGGAACCACTACCGAAAAGAATTTAGGTGAGGATTTAAATAGTTAATAATAATTGTTGGTTATTTGCTTTTTGTTTAGTTTTGGTTGCAGAAGAAAGATTGCCACACTAATACGCACATATTTATTCACAATATTATAAACATTTGACTAAAATTTTGGATGTGCAATCCTGATACAACCGTTGCCAATTTTCACATAACCAGTCAAACAGGGTGCGTCAAACAAAAATCTGCTTTGGATCATTGAAGATATATTTTTGGCTAGAAAAAAATAAAAATATTTTATTTAACATAATTTGCGTTTTATTTAAGTTTAAGAATAATTATTGATTTATTGGACTAAAATACTATTGTAGTCTACCAAGCTTCTAGGCACGCGCCGTTGAATCTACGATAGCCGCCTTTGCAAGGCAGATTCAATAAGAATCTATCAACGATAATGATTTTAGTGGCTAAAATATAAATAGAATTCCTACAAATAGACAAATTACTTATATAAAGTTAGTTAAACTTACCAGCCTTTTTTATCTCCTCAAATTCATCTGGATTATAAATTCTGTTATCAGTTGGAAAAGTATAAATGATTGTCGCTGGCAAAATTATCAATAGACATAGTTGCAGACAAATGATGGGGTCCATTTTTAATGCACTACACTTTCTTTATTTGAGCATTGTTGAATACGACGAACAAACAAAACAATTTTGTTATCAATTCTTATAATACAGGGGTTATCGTTAATAATTCCGGAAACAAAAAAATTGTAAAACTCGGGGATTTCCAGGAATGATTTTTAATTTTGCACTATAATCATTCTGGTTTCGAGTGAATGTTGGTTGAATTTGTAGAATAGGTACTCCAATTCTGTAGATATACCAGTTTTTCAGTTCCAAAGGTTTATGAAAACGCTAGTAGATATAATCAAACATCATTTATTTATTTATTACAGTCTTTAGGATAAAAACGGAACAAGTTCAAAAATAGTATCCTGATATTACATTATACAAGAATATAATAAAAATATATCGATAGGTAACAAATTTAAAAGTAAAATCTAAATAGCTAAAATTGAAAATATAGTATATGACAATAGAGCAAAAAGGGCATCAAAACATCACAAACAATATCATATAGACAATATCACATAGGTTTCAATGGCAACTAAGCTTATATTGATTAATTCTTTTTAAAAGATATTGAACTTGTTGAAAATAAATCTTGGTTACAGACAGTCAGTACAATGTAAGTTAGCAGATTTAACTATTCTCACCAAAGGTACATTCTAACTGTAATTTGTTCTACAACATGGAACATAAAATAAATCTGGGTCTGAGCCTACAATAGAAGCTGTCACAATAGCATGTACCATCGTCACCAAAAGTATCTGGGACACAAATAATGCATAATAATCTCCTGGACTAATTCTACTGTCATTCATTTCAATGCATTTAATTCATAGTTTGACAAATATTTGACAATAAAATTCATATAATAGAACAAGAGCTAATGTGATGCTGTTCCAGTTACTTTTGGTGACGATGGTATATTAAATTTTGGGTGGGATTGAACCAATGAGTAATCATGATCCATAGCAAGTAAAGAAAAACATGCGTAGGTCTGAGTTCTGAGTAAGTCAGTCTGTACCTGATTGCTACCCAGATAGCAGTAGACGTCTTTAAGATGTCTTTTTTAGGTCATTTCCATGTCTGAACGCCTAAAGACATGAAGAAGATGTCTTCAAGACGTCCTGGCCAAGACATTTTTAAGATCACTAATTTGGTGTCAAGTGAGTGTACCTATCCGTGTTGTGTACAAGACAAGACATTAAACCAGTAAACGAGCAGTGGATACTCGAGTGGACGTATAAACTCAACGCTCCAAAAAAAATTTGCAAAATAAAACTGTTTTTTTAATTAAATAAATTAACCTTTAACCAATATTATTTTCCCCAAAAAAAACCCCTTTGCACGTCTTTGAACCGTCTTTTGAAAGACATTATTTGTGCCTTGATTGTTCACAAATGGATAAAAAAAGATGTCGAATAGATGTCTTAAAGATGTCTTGCGGCGTATAGAAGACATCTACATGACGTCTCGATTGTCTTATCCCAATATCTTTGAGACATTTTTAAGGCATATTTGTGCTATCTGGGTATAGTCATAGCTACCCTATGTTTTCCTTACCAGTTACCAGAGAATAGTTACGTCATGGCTCGGAAGCTAAACTACTATTATATATTGACGAATACAGTAGAAATAAACGTTATAGTTAGCGGGAGTGTTTTATTAACCACTCGAACACAACAATATTATAAACATTTGATAACTTTTATGTTGTCATCTGGGTTGCCTCAACATAGTGGAAATGTCCTTAAGGTACCCCAGTTGCGTCTTCAAGTTACCCATTACCATACCCTTAACCATTCCAGTTGTAAAAGCCTGTTCTGTCTGTGGTTGTGGTATCTTTAGGAGGCTTGAAGTTTGCATATCTGATACAAGCTTGGCCAATTCTTATGAAACCAGTCAGACATGGAGCGTCAAACAAAACTCTGCTTTGGATCATTGGATTATTGGCTAGAAAAAGATTAAAATATTTTATTTTACATAGTTTCCGTTTTATTTAAGCTCAAAACTTAGGTATAATAGAAATTGTAGTTGTTAATAATTATTGATTTATTCGACTGAAATAGGTACCTAGTAGTCTACCAAGCTTCTAGGCATGCACGTGCCGTTGAATCTACGATATCCAACTTCGCAAGCAAGGCAGATTCAATAAGTAAAACAACAATAAAAATTCATCAACAATAGATAATGGTTTTATTGATGAGGTATTACAAGAAAAAGTATAATCTCGAAAGAAACACCCATAGTGAATAGTTAATAAGCTTCTGTAAATCCTTTAATATATTGGGTACAAATTATACGCTTGACATCTTATTATTATAAAAATTTGATGAAAATTTTGGATATGAGTTTGCCTGATAACTTTTATGAGGTGCCTCAACATAACGCAAATCTCCATAAAGGCACCCCCCGCAGATGCGTCATCAAGTTACCCATTACCAGACAACCTATTAAAAGCTATTCTATTAACTTTACGAACATCGAAACGTGCAAAACAAACGTTGTCAATCTTCACGTAACCAGTCAAACAATAGTAGGATAAACGTAGCTGCATAACATAGGTGGGGGTGCAACAAATTAGCAACAAGCTGATTTTAGCGGAAATATTTAGTAACCGACCTCCTATTTAACCTCCCAAAAGTCCCATTCAGTCCTAGGTGTGGAAGGTTGAAAAAAATGGCCGCCATCTTGGATTTTTTTGGTTTTTTTCAAATATCTCAGTTTCTATTAGTTTTTTCAAGAAAACTCAAGAAACCTTTTTTGTGGATAATTTAATTCTCTATATAAAGTGTCCGTGAGTTTTTTTTTTATCATGAAGGATAACGGAGATATAGTTTTTTTTAGAATTTGATTTATAAATTTTTCACTTTTGTTGAAGATCCAAAAAAGCGATCCACCAAAGTAAGTACATAGTATATTCGCTCCGTATAAATTGCAAGTTTTTATGGGTCTCTATTGGTCATATTGATCGTGTGTGGAGTCATTTTGTTTGTGAAATTGTGATCTTTTCAACCTTGTAAAAATTGTTCTGGACTTCATCCTTGGTGAGCCAACAAATACAGTTTAATTATTGGGACTCAAATAGGAATAGAAAAAAAAAGATAAATTGTATTACTTATCAGCAGCACAAAAATTTGCAACCTCATTGGTCGGCCACTTATTCGCCAACCAATAGAATAATAGAACAATAAATTTATCTTGCAGATAGTTACCAGCAAGTTTATCTGAAGATAAATAAACCGGGCCTAAGCCTAATAAACATTCTGTATTAAATTTTATTCCAACCATAATCAATCCTGATAGGATCTACCCTTGATAAGGCCTGCTTCCAAAAGGAGGACAAAAATTAGCTTTTTGGCTAACCATGTGACATTTGTCGCAATATTCTATGTAGAAATTGCTCTGGAGTAAGGAGCTCTGAGATCCGAGTTCTCATAATGAAAGAACGCTGCCTAAGATATTTTTGTTGTCCAAGCTGTATGGACTGTTTCCAAGCACTGCCGGGGTTGAGCTCAAGACTTCACGAATTCGAAGCAGAGATGGAAAAGCTCAAAACCAACCAGAGTTGTGCTATCCAATCAGAATTGTTTATTATCGAGGATGATGTAGCAAAATTAGATAGAGGGTTTTCTCCTATTCCTGCCAATGGCCAGCTGACTATGGATGGTATTAAAAACGGAATGGGCTGGAAGGCACCTACAAAGCCATTCTGGATTCTGATAAGGAACTTGTTGCATTCATGTCTAAGTCCTATACACGCTGATCACGATCAATTTTAATGCGATAGAATGAAATGTCTAAAGAAAGTCTAAGGTTGAATAGAGAACGAAAACGATTTCCCCTGTTCCACCTCCAGCAAAAAGCGCTGGAAATGCTCTATTTAACCTTAGACTTTTTCTAAGCATTTCGAAAGGGATAAAAGTGAGGAAATGTTTGAAATATTTACTATAGAATTCGAAAGGGATAAAAGTGAGGAAATGTTTGAAATATTTACTATAGAAGCTCTGTATGTCCGTTATCGTTTATGTTACAAAAAAAAGGTATAAATACTTTTTATAAAGAATTAAATTTTCCAGAAAAAAGGTTTCTTGAGTTTTCTCGAAAAAACTGATAAAAACTGAGATATTTGAAAAAAACAACAAAATCCAAGATGGTGGCCATTTTTTTCAACCTTCCACCTCTAGGACTGAAGAACTGAATGGGACTTTTGGAAGGTTAAATAAGAGGTCACATACTAAACATTCCCGCTGGAATCAGCTTGATGCTAATTTGTTGCATTCTGACCCCCCAGATTGACTCAGCTACAAGTAAAAATTGCACCGAAAGCAACACACAGTGAAAAGTTAATAAGTTTCTGTAAATCCTTTAATAATAAATATTCCGCGGAAATAAATGCCGTGATGACGTAGAAAACCAAAATCAAGACAGACAAAGCACAAAATCGTTAGGGTGCAAATGGGAGATAGCGAGGAGGAGATCTGGAACGCACTGGTGAAACTGAGAGAGGAGACAAGGGAGAGTGACGAGGTGGCGGTGATATACAATTAATTGAAAACACATGTAATGATTTACACGACCAACGCATAGGTACCTTCGCAGCAGCAGTAGTACCAGCACAACAGCAGGAGAAACCGGCCACGTAGTAGGCAGAACACGATAGTGCAAACGCAAAGATCCAAGGACTAAGCGAGACAAAAGATGGGAAACTGCTAATTATAAACGGAAAGAGATGAGTTGGCTATAAAACAGATTCAGGGCAACATCAAGGATACAAAATGTAGAAATGACAGCCAAGGTATAAAAATAGAGATAGAGAAGCAGAAGCAGGAGGGAATATATATTAAAGGAATGAACGCCCTAACCGCGGAACAAGAGCCGGCAGAGGCCATAGAAGAGAGGATAGGGAAATCAGACCCGGAAGAGGTTAGATTAGGGTCATTAAGGGCGAACGCTAACTGTACACAGACTGCAACGATAACTCTGTCAAAAGCCGAAAAGCTTATGGAACACAGGGAAAAAGCTGTAATCAGAGTGGGAATGATCAGCTGTATAGAATGGAGAGTAGGATCAATATGCAGAGGTCATATGACCACATCAAAGGAGATTGTGATGAACGAAATAGAAGCGAATTACCTATGCTTCCGATGCGGTGAACGCGGAAACAGCACAAGAGAATGCGAAGGAGATGAGGCATGCCTCGTATACAGGAAGGATGGACACAGAGCTGGCTCGGGGAAGTGCAGGCTGTTCCGTAGAGCGTTATCGTCTATCGACCAACAACAGAAGAAATAAGAAAACCCTAAAAAAAAGGGTTACCTTAGCATGAGCGAATAATTGCAGTACCTACCTATCAATATGTAACTAATGCTTCAGTGTCAAATAGAAATGTTTCCTGAATGAATGAATATATTCGGTAAAAGATGATAAATGTTCGATAAAAATGCAGAATCAATGTTCATTAGATAGGTGATGATGCAGCATGCATTTTTTTCTGTGATTAGATTAAGGGTGGTTTAATGATTTGAGTAAAAACAGAATTCGTATTTATTGTCGAGTGGAATAACAAAAATTTGAAAAACTTACGTTTATAGCCACTTCTGCGTCTAGAAAAAATAGTTTATTACTGATTTCAAGCTGATTCTGTGTATGTATGTAGGTTGATTACCTGATTCTTGATTCTGGTACAACTAGTGCTATTGTAGATACAACCAAAAACAACAATGGTAATTTAAGAAACATTTTTTTATTCAACTTTCGTAAGCACACTGTGAAATCGAATTATAGATACCAGTTAATTTTTTTATATTTATATATTTTTGGAAAATTTATATAATTCCAATAAATTTTTAAAATTAAATGTGATTATTTTCATTTTTAATGAGTACATATTACGAAATGATTGATTTTGATTGGAAATTGGCTATAAGAAATTAATAGTCTTATGAGAAATAGGTTTTTTTAAATATTAATTTATTGAAACCCTTTCGTGAATATTAGAGCGATTAAAATACAACTTAGGTACAAGTTATTACGCAACGTCCTCTTTTAAAAAGCCTTGATCTATCATGGAAATCTAATGAATACTCATAGGCTGCAAGCGCTGAGGTAGCTGCGAACTTAGCATTGCACATGGGTTATGACGTCATCTCCCCTTTCACACTTCCGTCACATTTCCCGAAATTTACCATCAAACCGCCGGTATAGATGTTCACACATCAAAAATTGAAAAGCACATTTTGGTTTACTGAATGAATTCAGTGTTGGGAAATGGACGAAGAAATAAAAGAACTTGTTAATTATCGATATTCAATCACTTATCTGCGTGGAAAACAGAGCGTGTGAACTCATAGAAATAACTATACGAACTGAACTCAACATCAAGACAAAGAATTACAAAACCCTTTCTTAAGTAAACGATTCCTCATCTGTTTACCTTACATATAAAAACTATATAAACACATTCAGTCATCCATAGCTGCGATATAAATTAGCAAAGTATATAGGCTAATAATCAAAGTTTAATTTATTAATTTTTGTTTCACTGATATGAATATCAGTTTATACAACATTCAGCAATTTTGAAGTTTGATTTGGTTATCCACAGTCCAGAGTTTATAAGGACTCGGTTATAACTGCACAAATTATAATGTATAATTATAATATATTCTGAATTAGAATTAAATTATCTTCAAGATAGAATAAGATTCAATTCTTTATCTTAAATACTTCTGGAGATATTGAGGCTCAAAGTCAAATTTTTGTCTCAAATTTCACAAAAGATTCAAAGCTGATTTTCTTGAAAACGAAGCCCTTGAGCTCGAAATCTCAAATAACCTTTTTTATAGCCCTTCTGAAGAGCTACAATTGAGCAAAATATTTAGGCCGATAGCTCCACACACAGGTTTCCAAAATATGGCCCTTTGAAATATTTGAAAATCAAATTCCCTTTGAAAAAATTTGAATTTTAAAATTTTTGGATTTTGCAATTTTTGACTTTACCAATCGAAAGAAGAGGTGAAAATTAGTGGAAAAGCATTTACGCAACTTTGTTTTTTGGGTTTTAGGGCTTGTAAGAAAATAAAAACTGTTTTTCCACATTTTGGGCACAGAAAATTTCAATTATCTGACATTGTTTCACAAAATCGCTCATTACTCGGTTATTATTGCAACAAATATGATGTAAAAAAAATATATTCTGAATAAGAATTAAATTATCTTTAAGATAGAATATTTTTGATTTTCTCGAAAATGAAGCCCTTGGGTTTGGAGTCTCAAATAACCTCTTTTTATTGAGATAAAATTCAGTGAAAATTTCAGCTTTCTATCTATAATAGAAAAAAAGTTATGACCTTTCAAAGTTTTCCAAAATCTAAATCATAAGATGTGCTTTATGGGTTTGCAATTGGGTTGCTTATGACTGTGACCGTGTTTGGGTTGTGCTTCATATAAAGTGCAAATTTGTATCTACAGAACAGTGGCGACGCTAGGGTATTACATTAGGGGGGGCCAGACTGGGCCAGAAAAATTTAGGGAGGGGCACTTGTTTTTACTTTATTGCTTTTTTGTTGGAATAAAAAATGGGAAGTCGACACTAATATGTTTAGGGGAATCTCAAGACAATTTGACCTTATAGGACTGCCTATTGAGCTGAAAGTGTCTACCATTTCAGCCGCAGACCTCAACTTTCGGCGTGAAATGCATTAGCCGAACCTGAATCGCAAGCATCCCATCGAGGCCTGCGGGTGACGTCACCACTATACTTTAGTCTAGTACTCATAACCGCGAAATTCGCTCTTTTTTGACATTGCATTGACAATTTGACGTTTTATGCGTGAATCAAACGTCAAATCGTCGAAGCAATGTCAAAAAAGAGCGGCTTTCGCGGTTATGAGTACTAAGCTTTAAGCTGCTGATAATGGTGATGTCACTCGCAGGCCCTGCCGGCTGGAGAAATGGCGAACGTAAGTACGCCTAAGGGTGGATTTTCATGCATCCGTTTGTCCGACGAAAGATGTCCGTTTAACATTCTATTCTGACATAATCGTATGAAAATATGTCAAAATAGAAGATTTAACGGACATATTTCGTCGGACAAACGGATGCATGAAAATCCACCCTAAAGCTTATTTTTCATGCATCCGTTTGTTTTTCAATCCGTTGATCCGGAAGTATTCCTATTGGTCCAATATTCTGGCGCTAAAATATTGGACCAATAGGAATTCTTCCGGAACGGATTGACGGATAAACGGATGCATGAAAAGTAAGCTTTAGGGAGGATTTTCATGCATCCGTTTTTCCGACGAAATATGTCCGTTTAACATTCTATTCTGACATAATCGTATGTAAATATGTCAAAATAGAATTTTAAACGGACATATTTCGACGGAAAAACGGATGCATGAAAATCCTCCCTTAGGGTTACTTTTCATGCATCCGTTTTTCCGTCAATCCGATGATCTTGCCTATTGGTCCAATATTTTGGCGCCAACCTATTGGACCAATAGAAATACTTCCGGATCATGGAATTGACGGAAAAACGGATGCACGAAAAGTAAGCTTTATGAGGATGAGTAATCCTGAGGCGGGATTATGTAACGGATAGAAATCCTTATCCCTTTTGCTATGGCACTTGCTGTCTTCTTCTCTCTTTTCGAAATCAATAGAGAGGGGACGTCAATAGCGTAAATATCTCTATTCGTTACAGAATTCCACATGTGAGTTTACGATTCTTGGGGGAATCGTTGCCGGCATGAGAGCAAGTTCTCAGGGGGGGCCAGCTAAATTTCAGAGGGGGCCCGGGCCCCCTCTGGCCCCCCCCTGGCGTCGCCACTGCTACAGAAGGGTGGCAAGGGTGCACAAGCTAGAGTGAAAATTATTGATTCAGCATAAACATCGAAGACCAAAGGTTATTTAATTAGCGATGAGATTCTTCTTCTATATTGACAATGGACCATGTTTCTGTGCCTATTTAAAATTACAGCAGATGTTGTAGCACTTGTAACAATTCAAGAAAAGACGTTTCATGAGTACCTAATATATAGTAGGTAGCTGATTGAAATATTATCGGCCAAAGCTTTTTGGGGCTCTAGACTAATAATTTTTCAGGAATACAATAAAAATAAGAAAACTATAGTGACATGTTAGCGAAGGCATTATGCTTTGTAAAAAATTATCTATCTCCTGCTTTCCACTTTTCCCCATTCGCCATACTGTCAGGTCTAAAACAAAAACCAAAAAAACATATAATTAATACGCACTTAATTCGCCCACAAAATGAAATTCTAGTCCACTATTTATCTAGCTGCAATGGCCGGCAAATATATCATCCTAATACCATTGCTGTTTCTAGTGATAGTATCATCTAGCCCTGTGATTACTGATCAGAATGACTCTGCAGAACAAGTGTTTTTGAATCAAAAAAGTATGCGTATGCAAGAAAATATCGCATTCGTCAAGTGCAGGAGGGGATATGTGTCACTAAATGGATTGTGTATTAAAAGATACTCGTTTTAGTAGTTGGTAAGTAATTTTTATTTCAATGAATATTGTCTACAAAAAAAAATATAATTTAGTTTATTGTCACTAAAAAAAAAAATTACTTTCATCTTACCTACATGCTCCATTGAAGATTCATCTGCCCCAATATGTCTTCATACATTTGCCATTAATCGAAACATATCCAGCTTTACATGGAACATTCATTATATTGTACAAAGATATTTTTTTATCAATTTCCATTGCTTCTTGAATAGTTTCGTTGCTGAGAGGCTTGGCACTAGCCAGGAGCAAACAGGCACCAAAAATTAATAAAATCGTAGACACATTCATTTTACAAAATCTGATATAACACTGGGTTTCAATTAGAAATTATTAATTCAGATCAAAAAATAGTAAAATGTGACGCTTATTGTGTAGTGTTATCTTATTGAGTACATATTTTTTTTCCTGATAAGAAGGTAATAAATAATAGTGCAAGCATCTGGAATTTAATTGCTAATTGAGTTGACTCATGATTGTGATTTTGCATCTTTTTCTTATCTGCTTAACGGAAAAAAACAATACGCCCCCTTATAATTTGATATCTAAATAGTTACTTTTATACTGACTATTTTTGAATCAGTTCTATAACAAAAATGGCTTTCAATGTTATTCTAATATTTTCACTTATTTGCTTGGTGGCTGCTGATCCTGTGCACCAGCATAAACATAATCTCCCAGCGGAAAATATCGAAAGTTCTCCAAAAAATGCATCAACTAAACATTTTGCGGTTTCCAGCATTATTACTGTGCCA